TGCCCTTGACCGGAATTGAACCTGAGACTTCTCAGTCTGCAGGTTGACGCTCTTTCCACTGAGCCAAACCGGTATTGGCTAAAATTAAAATTTTTAATAAAAAAGTAAAATAATGCCCTGGCCAATGAGCTCAGTGGCTAAAGCATCAGCCCTCCCACCGAAGTGTCACAGGTTCGATTCCTAGTCAAGGGTGGATACCTGGGTTTCAGGTTCAATCCCCAGCCCTAGTTGAGGTGGGTATAGGAGGCAACCAATCCATGTGACTCTCACATCAATGTCTCTCTCCCCTCCTTACATACCGCCTCCCCACCTTGCACTCTAAAAATCAATGGAAAGCCGAAACCTGTTTGGCTCAATGGATAGAGCACCGGCCTGTGGACTGAAAGGTCCTAGGTTCGATTTCAGTCAAGGGCATGTACCTTGGTTGCGGGCACATCCCCAGTAGGGGGTATGCAAGAGGCAACTGATTGATGTTTCTCTCTCATCGATGTTTCTAACTCTCCTTCTCTGTAAAAAATCAATAAAATATATTTAAAAAAATAAAAATTAATGGAAAAAATATCCTCTGGTGAGGATTAAATAAATAAATGAATAAATAAAATCAACTATTTCTGTTATTCTATGATTATCTGTCTGTGTATTCTAGTACAGACAGGTTGGCAAACTATGGCCCGTGAACCAAATTCAACCAGCCTCCTATTGGAACACAGTAACACTCATTTATTTACATGTAGTCTGTGTCTGATTTTACAATACAAGGACAAAGTTGGGCAGTTACAAAAGATCATATGGCCTGAAAAGCCTAAAATACATTAACTCTCAGGCCAATTACAGATAAAGTTTGCTGACACCTGATTTAGAACAGATTATTTGGAAATAAAATGTAACATGCAGCACAGCTTAAAATAGCATCAATAACATCAGGTGCCAGGAATGAATATAACAAAAGATATTTTTAAAACTACAACAGTGGTTTTCAATGGAGGGGAACTTTACCTTCCATCCTCAGGAGACATTTGGTAATGTGTGGACACATTTTTGGTTATCACAACTGGAGGCTACCACTGGTAGAAGTGGGTAGAAGCCAGAGATACTACTTAACATCCTACAATGCATAGACAACCCTTCACAACAAAGAATTACGGTAACTGGCCCAAAATGTCAGTAGTGCTAAAGTTAAGAACACTGCTATACGTTGGCCTACAGACTGAAGGGGTTCCTAGGTTCAATTCCAGTCAGGCACATGTCTGGTTGTGGGCTTGATCCCCAGTAGGGGGTGTGCAGGAGGCAGCCAATCAATGATTATCATCATTGATGTTCATCTCTCTCTCTCTCTCTCTCTCTCTCTCTCTCTTTCTCTCTGAAATCAGTAAAAACCATATGCATTTTTTTTTCTTTGGCCTGTGGACTCAAAGATCCCGGTTAATCCCAATAAGAGGTGTGCAGGAAGCAGCCAATGAATGATTCTCTCTCATCATTGATGTTTCTATCTCCCTCTCCCTGTCTCTGAAATCAATAAAAAATATATACATACTTTTTCTTAAAAAGTACACTGCTCTACAATGAAAACCACAAAACATTGCTGAGAGAAATTAAAGATCTAAATCAATGGAGAGTTAATCCATGCTTATGGCTTGAAAGATTCACTATTTTTTTAAAATGACTTTTTCCACAAAATTGATTTACAGATTGAACATAACCCTGATCAAAATCTAATCAGACATTTTAAAAATAGCAGTTGACATGACAATTCTAATATTTATATGGAAGTACAAAACCTAAATTAACAAAAACAGTCTTGAGATTGTTACTGTAAAGTTATAGTAATCAGAACAGTGAATTATTGGCACAAACACATAAAAAATAAAGAAATAGAATCATTTAAATCCTGACTTAAAATAAAGATGACTAGTGTGGCTGAGCATCATCCTATATATCAGAAGGTTGCCGTTTCAATTACAGGTCAGGACATACCGGCTTTGCCAGTAGGGGATGTGCAGGAGACAGCTGATCCATGTTTCTCTCTCTCCCTCTCTTTATAAAAATATTTAAAAGTATGCCAACACTTCAGCTTTCCGCCAGCAGGGTGCACACTCTGAGGGAGCTAGCAGTGCTCACGAGATCAGCAGAGGTGAGCTCAACGCAGATGGAATGAGGCAGAACTTCCCCTCTGATCCAACCATTAAATTAAGAGATTTCAATGGAGCCCAGTCTGGACTCACTTGTTCTGAACCTCCCAGGAATGTTTCTCATTCACCTTCTATCGGACAGGACAACTCTCAAAAAGCCAACATCCTGGGCGTGACAGGTGTGATGTTTAGGGAATGGGCTGGTGTGGACGAGATCAGCTCACAGGAATCACAGGAAAAGGACCAACCCGGGTTTTCTCTCTCTCCCACTTGCACTCACGTGAGCAAGAAAAGCAGCAGCAGGCACAGGGTGGGTGATGGGGTCTTCTGTCCTCCTGCTCCTCATTCCCTGCTCCCTCCTGCCCTGGCAGAGCCAGAGCCGGAGCCAGAGCCGCGCCCACGGGTCTGGTTTGGAGATCAGGAGAGCGAAGAAAGGGGAGGCTGCTCAGGTGGGATGGGAAGGAAGGACAACTACACTGAGATCAGGGACACAGGGTCACGAGCTTCCTGTCACTTTAGATTGTCTTTAAGGGTTTAAACTTAGGAAGCCTTTATAAAGCACTGATTACACACACACACAAAAAAAAAGTATGCCAAAACCGGCTTGGCCCAGTGGATGGAGCATCGGCCTGCGGACTGAAAGGTCCCGGGTTCGATTCTGGTCAAGGGCATGTACCTTGGTTGTGTGCACATCCCCAGTGAGGGGGGGGGGGTGCAAGAGGCAGCTGATCGATGATTCTCTCTCATCGATGCTTCTAACTATCCCTCTCTCTTCCTCTCTGTAAAAAATCAATAAAATATATTAAAAATAATAATATTAAAAAGTAAAAGATGACAGTGAAGTACAGTGGAAAGAGGAATTTTTTAAAATTAATTTGAGAAAAAAACATCAATTTGTTCTGCTTATTTATGCATTCATTGCTGGTTTCTTGTATCTGTCCTCCCTGGATATTAAACCTGAATTTGGTTCACAGGCCATAGTTTGCCAACCTATCTGTACTAGAAATGCCTTCGGCCACATGCGGGAGGCAACCAATGTATCTTTCTCATATGGATGTTTCTGTCTCTCCCCCTCCCTTCAACTCTCTAAAAATCAATAGAAAAAATATCCTCATGTGAGGATTAACAACAAAAGAGGGATGGATATACTACTGTGCAGTAGACCGGTGAAATGGAAAGTGATAGAAAAGAGGTAGACAGATGAGGAAAAGGCCATATAAACGGAGGTGTGTAGGTAGTTTGAACTTTCATCTTTAGAGCAATGGAAATCCATTGTAGTAAGATTATATTTATATTATAAAATATTGATTACTCTCTTTAAATTGGATTTAGGGATGGGAGGACTATAAAAATATTTATATTTTGTTGTACATGCTTCCTAGAGAAAACCTGCATAGATTAAATACTAAGAATAGAGCACAGAATATGAAAATTTAATGATTGCCCTGACCTGTGTGGCTCAGTTGGTTGTATGTCATCCTGTGCACTGAAAAGTTGCCGGTTCTATTCTTGGTCAGGGCATATGCCTAATTTGGGGCTCGATCCCCAGTGGGAGACGTGTAGGAGGCAGCTGATTGATGTTTCACTCTCACATCAATGTCTCTCTCTCTCTCTCTCTCTCTCTCTCTCCCCCTCTCACTAAAAAAAAAAAAATCAAAAATATATTTTAGAAAGAAAAGATGAATGATCCAATGAGTACTGTGGAAACTTAAGGAAGAAAGAAAATTGACATAAACTAGTATAGCAAAAAATTTCTAGGGATTTATTACTTGCACTAATGGCTTGGTGCATGAAATTCATGCACATTAAAAGGAGATTAATTAGAGGAAATATTTTAATATTGCTATTTGTCCTTTCCCTGAAATAGAGGTATCAGAGATGAAAGAAAATTACTAAACTGTATATAAAACTCTTCGTCCTGTCAGAGGCCCACCCCGGGGCACCTCAAAAATCACATGAGACCCAGCCAGTCCCCCGTGTCCCCGTGTGTCGTCGTGTGTGTGTGTGTGTGTGTGTGTGTGTGTGTGTGTGTCCGTGTGTGTCCGTGTGTCCGTCAAGCCCGCGGGCGCAGCCTCAGGTCCCCTGCCCCAGCCCAGCACCACACAGCCTCAGCTTCCTGCTGATTGCTCCTTAAGGCTTGTTTCAGGAACTTGACCTCCACTGTGGGTGCCGCCGGCTCTGAGATAGCATGGCAGTCAATTTGCATATTCCCTCTTTATTATATAGTATTACCAAAGCTCTTGTGGTTGCTTTAGGCAGATTGCAGCCCCCCACAGTGCCATCCTGAGTAGAAGCATTAAAATGGACTGATATCTATTGTTGCCTTGGAGATGCTGGCAAAGCATATCATAGACCTATCTGCTGATTTGGCTATTTGTGCAGATACTTGGAATTAAAATAATTGAACCTTAATGTTGGTGTACAATGTACCATTTCTGCTACTTCTTTATCTCGTGTGGATCCCTGCTATACCATCCACATACCTGCTTATGACAGTTAATCTAAGATACTGGATTATATATATAGCATGCTTTTTTCCTGTATAGTATTGTCAAAGATTTCTCATACTACTAATTTTTGTTACACTTTCATTAAATTCCAGCATTATCAATAATGTGCAAGTAATACAGGAGTGCTTATGACAGTATTGCACATTAGAAAATACTTTGCATCTAGTATACTGGATTATATAAATGGCATGCTTTTTTCCTGTATAGTATTGTTAAAGGTTTCTCAAACTAATTTTGTACACTTTCATTAATTTCCAGCATTATTAATATGTATAAGTGATACAAGATTGAGATGAAAATTATCACTTAAAGGTTTAAATTTTTTAAAAAGATTTTTTGTCATTATAATAATCTCTTTAAGCTGGAAGTTCCTTGACATCCTTTGGAACAGAAACATCAAACAGCGGTACCCTGTCCCAAAGTAGTGCAGTTGGTTCTGCCTTTACACAGGATACAAGATCCGTGAAAACACAGTTATCTCAAGGTAAGCTGTCTTTCTTTCATATATTTTCATTCTAAACTTCTATACTGGTTTTATCTTTCTCTGAATGTAAGAACTTTTGCAATTTGTTTTTCTCCTAATTGCTGTTGCAATAAGTATATTGTTGAATGACTTCCACTATTTAGACTTTTTCCAGTCTTAGATCATAAAACTGAAGCAGTGACCTTTCTGTAAGTTTGACAATTTTTGCAAAGCAAGTATAATATAAATTGTATGATTATACTTAAATATATCAAATTAATCCTAGAGTCACCACTGAAAATGAACTCTCCTTGATTACTTTAAATAACAGCTGAAGAAAACAAACTATTTATTAGCTCTTGCATCTTTCTTAGCATCCTCACAGGATCTAGAGCAACGTTCAGTGGGTGTACTGCAAGAATTTTGAAATCATTATTTATTATTACCTGACTATTTAGTCAGGGGCACAGGTGTATTTTCCCTTAAATTGTCAAATGGAAAAAAATGACAACAGCCAACACAACAATAGCTATCTGGTATGAATGAATGAAAATTATACAGTACCTGGGTGTTTGCTTTTTTGTGTTTTGTTTTTTTCTCAGACCAGCAAAACATACATTTATTTTTGGTTTGCCATAGAATTTTGGTAATTTATGTGCACCTTCGAATGAAAACTGCTCATCTAGAGCAATGGTTCTCAGTGTTAGGCCACCCACAACCAATCATCTTGAGTGCTTAAAAATGTAGATCCTGAGAACTACATCAGAATCCTTCTAGGGTCAGCATTTAATAAGCTTTTTAAACTATCCTGTTCTTTTTCTTTTTAAAATTATGTTTTTCCCTCACCCAGGCTGACAGCCTCCAGTGGTCCCAAGATATCTATCTTTACTTGTTGCCGAAGTGAATGTTACTGGCTCATTGCTTCATATAGATGTTTACTTTTAAATAATGTGAAGTCATTTCAGAAAGATGCCATAATCACAGGACAATATTTTAAAAATATATTGAGAATAAAATCAGGCTAATTATCTTTCTTACTGCAGATATTTTGAAATAGATGTAGTTACTGTTACTCATTAATTTAAAATACTTTTTAAACATTCTAAAGATTTGTTATAGATTAATTAAAAATATAGTAAGCATAAGGAAAAAATTTAAATACCACAATCTCTACCCAGAAATAACAAATATTTATGTTTTGTTGTACATGCTTCCAGACTTTTTTGTAGGTTAAGTGTGTATTTGTATGTATGTGTATTAGTTTGTTATTTTAGTTATTAATCTTTCTAAGCATTAGTTTCTTAAACTATAAAATGGTACTTTACTGGTAACTAACAGAATTATTATGAGGATTAAATTTTTTTTAATGTATACAGTGCCATCAGCATCATAGTACCTAAACTTCTATACTGGTTTTATCTTTTTCTGAATGTAAGAACTTTTGCAATTTGCAATGACCTGTATAATTTTTATTTGATTCTTTGGAATTTTTTCTCCTAATTGCTGTTGCAATAAGTATATTGTTGAATGACTTCCACTATTTAGACTTTTTCCAGTCTTAGATCATAAAATTGAAGCAATGGCCTTTCTGTGGCAGCTCTTGATCAGCCCTTGCCTCTCTTTCTCTCTCGGCCTAGCCAGCAGCTTCGGGGGCTTCTGATCAGGCCCAGAGATAGGCCCGGAAACACTGACTGGCTGACCAATCAGAACCAAATCTGATTTGGCAGACATTCAATGTAGAAGATTTCCTTTGGTGGTCAGTATGCTCTGGGTGAACTGCAAGGAGCCGATGGCTCCCTAAAAGGCGGGCTTTTGATGCTGACTGACATAGAAACTGACCAATCAGAACGTGATCAGTAAATGTTAGCTATCTTAATGAATTGAATATCCAACATTAACCTTAATATGGAAGCACCAGAAGAATTCTTATTAATCATAAATAAGGATGCCTGTCATCATTGCTATTCAGCATTGTTCTGGATTTTTAGCTAAATCTGAAACACGTGAAAAAGAAATGAGGCATAGTTATTAAAATTAGCATTATATGTCAGTGCTATGAATTACTACTCGGAATTAAGAATTCATTAAGTAACCTAGAACTGATAAAAGACTTAAATTAGAAGGAAAATATAATGTATAAACATCAGTCATTGTTCTAAAACTTAACACACTAATCATGTAGTGGGGATAAAAGATGATGTTCACAATAATGAGAAATTATGTAAAAAATACATAACAAGAAATAAGACCAATTTCTATGTTGAAAACAAAATACAACACAGGGATCTAATAAGATAATATAATTAGAGAATTATTTTATTCCTAGATACAGAGATAAAGTATTGGGAAGGCTTTACTTGTCATATTAATTAAGTTATTTAATTTCAATAAATCTAAGTGGAATGTTATGAGAACTTAATAAAACAGATACACATACTATCTTAAAAATAAACATGGAAGTATAGTTAGACATATCTAAAAAAATAAAACAGTGAAATAGGGCTTTTCTACTCAACAATGTATTCATAAAATAAAACAGTGCAGGAATAAGTTAATAGATGAATGGAATAAAAATCGGGAACAAATCCAAGTATAAATAAGTTATCTACATATATATAAAGAGCCAGGGTCCGTAACATCCAGAATGATCAAACGGATGACCAAACACCAGAAGTCATTGCTGGGTTGCTGCAACAACCCAGCACTAACTGCCGCGGGGGCTGCAGATCACGAGAGAGAGAAGCAGGGTCTGATCCACAGCCTCCATGGCAACTGTTGATCAGCTCTTGCCTCTCTCTCCAGGTCTCACCAGCAGCCTTAGGGGCTTCTGATCTGGCCTGGAGATAGACCTGGAAACGCTGACTGGCATAGAAACTGACCAATCGGAACCAAATCTGAGTGAACTGCAAAGGCAGAATCTAAGGTGGAGGCTGAGGAGGGATTTTAAGGGCAACAGCTGTTTGGTGTAAGGTGTAAGAAAGTTCAATTTTTTTAATGACTAGTTTGGCTGTATAGTGTATATGGCTGGCTATCAGTCCAGATATAGGGATTATATATTTTTGTCTGCCAAGAGCTTCTCCTCCTGCTGAAAAAAACCTTTAACCCCATTTAAGCAATCCTATCCTATGTAATCTTGTCTATACTAATAAAAGGGTAACATGCTAATTAGACCAGGTCAACCAGCCATCTTCCGGTCATTTGACTTCCTTCCACACAAAGCAGTGGAGGGCAAGATCAGGCTGGCAGGGGAGGCAGTTAGGGGCCATCAGGCAGGTAGGAGCAGTTAGGGGTGATCAGGCCAGCAGGGGAGAGCAGTTAGGGGCAATCAGGCAGGCAGGCAAATTAGTGGTTGGGAACCAGCGGTCCCAGATTATAAGAGGGATGTCCCCTAAGGGGTCCCTGATTGGAGAGAGTGCAGGCTGGGCTGAGGCACCGCCCCTCCCTTCACAAATTTCATGCACTGGACTACTAGTTAGTATATTATAGAGGTATTATTAAGTTAGAGAAAGGACAGCTGATCAATAAATGATATTGGGACAGACAACTGCCTGATCATTTGGAGGAAATAACTAGATTCCTTCTCTCTTACTTAGGATTAAATTAAATTATAAATCTAAAATTTTTAAAGTACATATCTTTATATATAAAAGCCTAAGCAAACGAACAACTAGTCATCTGGTCATTATGACATGCACTGACTACCAGGGGGCAGACACTCAATGTAGGAGGTTCCTCCTGGTGGTCAGTATGTTCCCACAGCGGGAGCACCACTCAGCTGACTGATGGGCGCCAGATGCTGGGCTCACAGCTGGCAAGTACAGCTGTGGCGGCACGAACCTCTCCTGCCTCCACAGCAAGCACTACCAAGCGGTGGCGGCAGACACAGCGGGGCTGGGATGAGCAGGACCGGCACGGCACCTGGCCTGGGCCTGGGTTTGGGCTCCTCTTCGGCCACCTGCTGCTTCACACACTGCTACATCCCCCCGGGATTTGGGCCGAAACCAGCAGGCTGAGGGACCCCACCAGTGCACGAATCTGTGCACTGGTCCTCTAGTTTATTATAAGAAAGATGTATATTTATATAAAGAATGGCAGTCCTGGCTGATGTGGCTCAATTCCAAGTTAAGGGCTATACTCCCCATCTCCTGGTTAGGGTGAGTGCAGGAGGCAACCAGTCTCTTTCTTCCCCCCCCCCCCCTCTCCTTCCCTTCCACTCTCTGAAAAGCAATGGAGAAAATATCCTCTAGTGAAGATTAACAAAACAATAACAAGGCTCCAATATGGCCTGGGAATCTACATTTTTTGCCAACTAATTTCTAAATTTTACCAAATTAGAACATCTAGAATTTTAACTTACTATATCAGTATGATAACATACTGATATCAGTATGTGCAGATAGCTCAAGGGGTGTGTTTTTATTAAGCAGAAATGGCTATTGTATATATTTCTAATAATATGTCTAGTATCACCTGTATTTCCCTATTTATAACAAAATTGCCATTGTGGCTAGTAGATTTTAATTATAAAGTATACAACAAATGAGATGTTGCTGTGATTGCTGTATTACTTGTGGTTCTTTAATACTTATCATAGGGTCTTTTCTCAAAGAAAAATCTGATAAAGTAAATTTTATAAACTTAGAAGAATATAGTACTGTAACATTAACTAAGCAATAGGATTTTCAAAAAACTTAATACTTATTTTATAAATTAAATCCCTTTAGAATATCATAAGTGATTATAAAATGTCTTCTGATAGGCCAAAACTTTTGTAAACCTCCATGATTTCCCAGTACATACAGTGTTTCCGTTAATGGCAGAGTAAACTTTGGCATTAATGGCTGGAAATGCACATTTGCAATTGCATGCTTTAGATAACCATAATCTTGGGGACTGTCCTATATAATAAAATCCTAATGTGCAAATTGAATGGCAGAATAACTGGTAGAACAACCAGTTACTATGAGGTGCACTGACCACCAGGGGGCAGACGCTCAGCACAGGAGCTGCCCTTAGGCCTCAGGCCAGCCAAGGCAGGTGCCAGCAAGACCCCACCCCCATTATCCCTCCAGTCACCCCACAGATCAACTCTGATTGCCGGTCAGGCCTAAGGATCCTACTCATGCTTGAATTTCATTAATTGGGCCTCTAGTTACTAATAAATGATCCCTAGAGCATCCAATAAACAACAGCCAATGCTTTGTTAGCACTCACTCGTTCACCAGTTGTTGACATTTGCAGCATATATGATTAATTTTTTATTTTTATAAATGAGCACAATTTTTTTTTTTAAACAAAACATTTTGGTGCAGTATCATGAGATATGAGAATACCTTGAACAGAGATTTATCACAAACAATAGGGACAAAAAATATGATGGGAGCACCTAATGTTGCATTATTCTGTTCATATTGTAACCATTCTGTGAAGCTCTAACCTCTATTAAATAAAAATTTGACAAGATGTTTTAAATGGAAAGGAATTATTATCACTACTACAGAATTACCTTAAGGGTTTATTTGTTGGTGGCCTTTTTGTTGTTGTTAATTCTTACCCGAGGATATTTTTCCATTGACCTTTTAGAGAGAGTGGAAGAGAGAGGGAAAGACAGAGAAGCATTGATGTGAGAGAAATACATTGATTGGTTGCCTTCTGCATGTGCCCTGACCAGGTACATGCAACCAAGGTATGTGCCCTTGACCAGAATCAAACCCAGGACACATTGGTATGCAGGCTGATATCTATCTATCCATTAAGCCAAGGGCTGTTGCTTTCCTTTTAAGTATTGATGTTTAATTTACTCAAGCCCCTAAGGTATTAAAGAACTTAACCTAACTTTCTAGTTCTTTATTTATAATATTAATTTATTGGAGATAATATCTATATCTATAGATATAAAGGTATCACTTTACACATCTTCAGAAAGTATTGAAAATATTAGAGCTTCTGGAAATAATGGCTTAAGTATCAATAGAATCTTGTGGTTATGGTTATTGGTATAAACCTGCATCTGACCAACAGCATGATCTTTGATAACATTCTTGGGGAATTTTGTATCAGGCAGAAATTTTTGAAAAACTTACTTAAACCTTATTTCAGTAGGTAGAAATACAGATAAAATTTTAGAGTATGTTGTTGTTGTTGTTGTTTTAACTAATCTAATGACCAGCCCACTAAAGATAATCAGTTTTAAACTCTGGTCTAGTCAGTAGAAGAATTCAAGTTTGTGCTAAGGATTTGAATTGGTAGAAATAAAATGACATTTTTTTTAGAGTCTAGGTTATTTTGAAATCCCCAAAGGATAGGGTAGTTTCTTATCTTTTGGTTACGTTTTAGGTCGTTCAAGCCCTCAGTTAGATCCTTTGAGAAAAAGCCCTACCATGGAACAAGCAGTACAGACCGCCTCGGCCCACTTACCTGCTCCGGCACCTGTTGGGAGAAGGAGCCCTGTATCAACCAGGCCTTTACCATCTACCAGCCAAAAAGCAATAGAGAATCAAGAGCACAGGCGAGGTAGAACTTTAGCTGTTTACTAATTCCTTAATTGACTCATCAACATTTTCCATTCACCTTATTTTCATTAAAAAGATAAACTTTATATGAATGATGGATCCTAGAAGGTTTAAACTGAACTTGGTAGAATGTTCATTCTTTCAATTTTAGCTCAAAATAGTGATGGGGGTATAGATTTGGAGGGTTTTTTGTTTTGTTTTGTTTTGTTTTCCTCATTTCTAACTTAACATTAAATTTTGACTTTTGTGTCCTGAGTAAATTTGTTATTCTGTATGCCTTATAGCTGATATACACAAGGTTTCAAGACCAGAAAATGAGCAACTCAGAAATGATAGCAAGAGACAAATGGGTAAGTAACATGGATTTAAAAGTCATATTCTATGCTTCTCAATAGAATATTTGAAATGTGTGGTGAATAACTGCTATAAAAAAAAAAAAAATTGTAGCCTCAGCTATGTTGCTCAGTTGGTTGGACCATCATTCCTTGCACCAAAAAGGTTGCAGGTTTGATTTCCAGTTACGGCCCATACCTAGATGTGGGTTTAATCATCATTTTCTCTCTCTCTCTCTCTCTCTCTCCCCTTCCCTCTCTCTCTAAAAATCAATAAAAATAAAAAAACATCCTTGGGTGAAAATAAAAAATTTTTAAAAAAGAATGGCAAGAGTTGGTAGCTAGCTGTAGCATGGGAGTTTCATTGTGGTAGCAGGTTGTTTTTTCTTTAAATATTTTTATTGATTTCAAAGAAGAAAGGAGAGGGAGATGAGAGAGAATCATTGATCAGCTGCCTTCCTGCACCCCACACTGGGGATTGAGCCCGCAACCCAGCTTTCATCTGGTCAGCCAGTTCGTTAGGCTTTTACAGAGAGAGAGAGAAAGAAAGAGGGAGGGAGGAAGGGAGGGAGGGAGGGGGAGAGACAACTGGTGCATGAAATTTGTGCACTAGAAGGTGTGCCTCCACCCTCTCACAATGTGAGACCCCTCATTCCTTATCGCCTGCCTGCTTACTACTCCTTACCACTTAGCTCTCTGCTCCTTAGCACTGCTGCGGAGGCAGGAGAGGCTCCCGCACTGCTGCTGTGCTTCCCAGCCATGAGCCTGGCTTTTGTCTGAACGGCGCTTCCCCTGTGGGAGCGCCCTGATCACCAGGGGGCAGCTCCTGCATTGAGCATCCGGCCCCTGGTGTTCAGTGTGCGTCATAGCGACTGGTCATTCCACTCTAATGGTTGCTTAGGCTTTTATTATGTAGATATATGTTTTTGAGTCAGTTTCATATAAGCATTGTGAAAAAATATTTTGTTTTTAAGAATAGAATTATCTGTACCTTAGAAGTTTGACATTTTTACACTGGCTGGTTTGCTTAATGGTTAGTGTGTCAGGACTAAAAGGGTCTCCGATTCAATTCCCAGTTAAGAGCATGTACTTTGGTCAAGGCATGTACCTCAGTTGCAGGTTCCCCAGTCCCAGGGACCTGTGCAGGAGGCAACCAATTGATGTGTCTCTCTTATCTCAAAGTGCCCCTCTCTCTCTCTCTTTCTCTCTCTCTCTCTCTCTCTCATCTCCGCCTCTCCCCTCCTCCTCCCTTCCTTCCCACCCCCATCCCCTCCTAATCTCCATCCATTCTCTAGAAATCAGTGGGAAAAAATATCCTGGGTGAGAATTAAAAAAAAAAAAAAGTTTGATTTTCTCATTTAAATTATTTATGCCCTGAACCTTTTTTTGAAGTAATTGTTCAAGAACTTTAACTTCCGCCTGGCCTATGTTATCAGTACTTAGTTGAACTTCGACCTGTGAATCAGGAAGTCACAGTTCCCAATCAGTGATTCTCATCATTGATGGTTCTGTCTCTCTCCTTCTCCATTCCTCATCGAAATCAATAAAAAATATATTTCTTTAAAAAAATAACTTTAACTTCCTTTCATAATTATTGATTTAATAAGATTGTATACTTTGTGTTTTATAATCTATATTATTAATCCCAAATTCACCCATTCTATTAGCAGAAAACAAATTATAATTTAAAAATTAAAAATCTTCCAAATTAAAAAATTAAGGCAATGTGTTATTACCTTGCTCAGACTTATGGAAAGTGATCTTTAACTTAGTTTTTAAAATCTAGATATATTTGAAATCTATAACCACCTCATTTGTCCTATACATTTTTATGTGTTTTTTTAATGTTCTACGTGTCATGGTAACAAAGTTTCCGTTTTGATTTACTATATTACCTTTTTGTTTGTTTGTTTTATCCTCACCTAAGGATGGTTTTTTTTCTATTGATTTTAAGAGAGAGGAAAGGGGAGAGGGTAGTGGGGAAGAGACATCAATGTGAGAGATGCATCAACCCATTGCTTTCTGCATGCACCCCAATGGGTGGGGAGAGGCCGAGAGTGAACCCAAAACCCCAGGTATGTGCTCTTGACCAGAAATCAAACCTCAGACCTTTTAGTGCACATGCTGATGCTGTAACCACTAAGCTTGCTGACCATGGCTGTAATCCACTTTTTTATTTTGGAAAAAGACAGAACCCTTTCTCAAAATAATTGCTATACTGCATAACTTAAAAATTATATAAAATAATAAATATCTTTTTTTTATTATTATTTATTTTTTACAGGGAAGAAGGGAGAGAGATACACAGTAGAGAGTTAGAAACATCGATGAGAGCCATCGATCAGCTGCCTCTTGCACGCCCCCTCCTGGGGATGTGCCCGCAACCAAGGTACATGCCCTTGACCGGAATCGAACCTGGGACCTTTCAGTCCGCAGGCCGACGCTCTATCCACTGAGCCAAACCGGTTTCGGCATAAATAAATATCTTTTTTTGTTTTTTGTTTTTTTAATCTTTATTGTTCATATTATTACAGTTGTTCCTCTTTTTTCCATTGCTCCCCTCCACCAGGTTCTCACCCCCCCCCATGCCCTTCCTCACCCCACCCAACTGTCCTCATCCATAGATGTATGATTTTTTATCCAGTCTCTTCTCGCACCCCCCAACACCCTTTTCCCCCTCAAGGATTGTAAGTCCACTCCCTTTCTATGTCCCTGATTCTATTATATTCACCAGATTATTTCATTCATCAAATTTTTAATTCATTTTATTTTTAGATTCACTGTTGATAGATATGTATTTGTTGTTCATAATTTTTATCTTTACCTTTTTCTTCTCCCTTTTCTTAAAGAATACCTTTCAGCATGTCATATAATACTGGTTTGGTGGTGAAGAACTCCTTTAGCTTTTTTCTTGTCTGTGAAGCTCTTTATCTGACCTTCAATTCTGAATGATAACTTTGCTGGGTAGAGTAATCTTGGTTGTAGGTTCTTGCTATACATCACTTTGAATATTTCTTGCCACTCCCGTCTGTCCTGTATAGTTTCTGTTGAAAAATCAGCTGATAATCATATAGGTGCTCCCGTGTAGGTAATTAACTGTTTTTCTCTTGCTGCTTTTAATATTCTCTTTGTCTTTTGTCCTTGGCATTTTAATTATGATGTGTCTTGGTGTGGTTCTCTTTGGATTCCTTTTGTTTGAGGTTCTCTTGGTTTCCTGGACTTGTAAGTCTATTTCTTTCACCTGGTGGGGGAAGTTTTCACTCATTATTTCTTCAAATAGGTTTTCAGTATCTTGCTCTCTCCTTCTGGCACTCCCTTAATTCGGATGTTGATACACTTGAAGTTGTCCCAGAGGCTCCTTACACTATCTTCATATTTTTGGATTCTGTTTTCATTTTGCTTTTCTGATAGTGTTTTTTGCTTCTTTGTATTTCAAATCTTTGACTTGATTCTTGCAATCCTCTAGTCTGCTGTTGGATCTCTGTATATTTTTTATTTCCGTCAGTGTATGCTTAATTTCTAGTTGGTCCTTTTTCATATCCTCAAGGGTCTCGTTAAATTTATTGGTTTTTCTAGAAAATTCTTGAAAAACCTTATAACAGTGGTTTTGAACTCTGTATCCAGTCGTTTGCTTCCTCCATTTCTTTCATTTGTGACCTGTTTCTTTCTTTCCACATTTTAGCTGCTTACCTGAGTTGGTAGAGTAGCTTTGTGTGCTAGGTGTCCTATAGGGCCCAGTGGCTCAGCCTTCCTAGTTACCCGAGGTGGACACTCTTGTTGCACCCCTTTGTGGGCTGTGTATACAGTCTTGTTATAGTTAAGCCTTGATTGTTGTTGGGATCACTGGGAGGGATTCACCTCCAGGTCAATTGGCTGTGAGGGTCAGTTGTGTCTACACTCGAAGAACTTCTGTATTGCAAACACCCTTATGGGCGTCTTGCTTCAGTGGGGCTTTGGTGTTCACTGAGTCTGCCCCCTGAGTGTGTTCCTTATTGATCTGAGGAGTTGTAATGTGGATGGTCTTACTCTGATTTCTGGATACACTGGCTTTTGGATCTCCAAGGAGGTGCTAGTTTAGCCTCTGCCTGAGGCCACCTAGTAGGAGCTATGGAGAGATCTGCAGATTTCTCTTCTTTGTTTGGGTTTTGGAGGTGCCCAGATTAGAGCCAGCTGTGAAGCAATGCAAGCTGCTGTAGGGCCTTGGGCTTTCATTTCATTTCGTTCTGGGTATCTCTGACTCAGCTGCAGTTTATTAAGTTTAGATTTCCAAGGACCAGGCCATTCATATGCAAAAGCCTCTGTGCACAGCTTGGATGGGGTGGAGTCTCAGTGCAGAGCAAACAGCAATGGCTTCCTGTTGAGGCCCCTTGGTCTCAGTGTCCCTTGGTAATCCTTTCAAGAACCTCTGAGAGAAAGCTGCCCTCAAATTCCACCCACTGCCAGACAGTCCAGTTTCTCCCCATATGAGTCTGGGTCCCCAGAGTCTTGCCTAGAAGTGGAGTTCAGAGCAGTCGGGAGCTTGTGTTTTTCTCTTGATTGAAAAAGACAGCCATGTACTCAGTTGTTAGCCCTCTCTGCGCACCCTCCTCTGTACCTTTGCACTTTACTTCCACAGCTCCTCTGAGTCTCAATGTGCTTTTCTCTTTCCTTCAACCCTGTTTCCCCAAAAATAAGACAGTGTCTTATATTAATTTTTTCTCCCAAAGTTGTGCTAGGTCTTATTTTCAGGGAATGTCTTATCTTTCCATGCGCTAGGTCTTATTTTTGGAGGATGTCTTATTTTCAGGGAAACACAGTAGTTGTAGAATTTCTACTCAGCCAATCTTCCTGTGGTTCTGAATGATGTCCGTTTTGTCTTTTTGTTGTAGTTTTGAAGTGGTTGTGTGAGGCAGAAGGTTCAGGTGTTTACCTATGCCACCATCTTGGTTTTAAAAACAGTATCTTTCACTCTAACTGGTTTGGCTGAGTGGATAGAGTGTTGCCTGTGGACTGAAGGATTCCAGCTTTGATTCTGGTCAGGGGCATGTACCTTGGTTGCAGGCACATCCCCAGTAGGAGGCGTGCAAGAGGCAGCTGATTGATGTTTCTCTCTCATTGGTATTCTGGCTCTCTGTCCCTCTCTCTTACCCTCTGTAAAAAAAAGATACTTTTTAAAAATATATATATATTTTTAAAAAGTATCTTTCATTCTTCAAAATTCATCACCTGAGACTCATTAACAGAGCAATGGATATTCTTTAGATTTTTTTTTCTTTAAATTTTATACTTTATAACCCAAGGTTATTTTTATTGATTTGAGAGTCAGATATCATTGTGAGAGAGAAACATCAATCTGCTGTCTCCCTTACATGCCCAACCTGGGGTCAAACTCACAACTTTTTGGTACAGGGGACAACATTCCCCAACTGAGCCATCCAGCCAGGCCCAGTGCACAAATTCATGCACCAGTGGGGTCCCTCAGCCTTACCTGCGGGATTGTACCAAAACGGGCTCTCCAACATTCCCTAAGGGGTCCCAGACTGCAAAAGGGCACAGACCAGGCCAAGGGACCCCACCATTACATGATTAGTGCTGGAGAAGGACCCTGGGAGGGCTTTAGGGCGCATCTGGCCCATTTCACTCAGTCCTGATTGGCCAGACCCCAGCAGCAAGCTAACCTACTGTATGGAGCGTCTGCCCCCTGGTGGTCAGTGAATGTCATAGCGAGCAGTTGAGTGTCTTTAGCATATCATTAGCATATTACGCTTTGGTTGGTTGAACAGCTAACCACACACTTAGCATATTAGAATTTTATTATATAGGATAAATCCTGTTATAAAGACTAAGTATAGGAAGACTTGAATAATATGGAGCCACTTACAGCATAAACAATAAATAAAGATGGAATAGAAATTGTTTGGAATGGTTGATACCTGGTGCTTCTTATCTTTTGTGTTATTTATAATGTGACAATGACACCTCCACCTTGCAGTTTGTTCTGATCCATGTTCATTTCTTTTTCTTACTCTAAATCTTGGTCCCTCTGATCCTTTCCATAAAAGGCTTCCTAAATTTTGGGACCCCACAGTGTATTTGGTACTCTGTAGGTATTCTATATAATAAAAGCCTAATATGCTAAGTGTCTTGCATAAGTCATCTGTTCAACCAATCAAAGCATAATATGCTAATGATATGCTAAGGCTACTCAGCTGCTTGCTGTGACATGCACCAACCACGTGGGGGGGCGGGCAGATATCGGAACTGAGCAAGATGGGCCAGACACACCCTGGAGCCCTCCTGTGGTCCCTCTCCAGGCTGGCCAACCACCCACATCCCTCCCTGGCGAGCATTGGTGGGTCCCTCCGCCTGATATCAGAACAACCAGTTGCTATGATGCATTGGTGGGTCCCTCCGCCTGATCGAGCATTGGTGGGTCCCTCCGCCTGATATCAGAACAACCAGTTGCTATGATGCACACCGACCACCAGGAAGCAGACGCTTAATGCAGGAGCTTCCCTCTGGTGGTCAGAGTGCTCCAACAGGGAAAGCACTGCTCAGCCAGAAGCACTGGTGAGCGCAGCAGCAGTGACAGGAGCCTCTCCCACCTCCGAGGCAATGCTAAGGATGTCAACTGATGGCTTAGGTCATCAGTTGGACATCCCCCAAGGGCTCCCAGAATGCGAGAGGACACAGGCCAGGCTGAGGGATGGACCCTTCACCCCCCCCCCCCCACACACACACACACACACACACACACACCAAGTGCATGAATTTCGTGCACCGGGCCTCTAGTAAGGAATATAAGTAAGCAAAACATAGTCTCTGCCCTCAGAGAGTTACAGTAATTTAGTACCAACATCTCCCAAATTATTTGGTTGTGCACTCCCACGTCTATATATATTAGTGTGGACCTCATAAATATAAATTCATGTGTTCTGTTTGTAAATTTCATGTGCACTATATATTAAATGTTAGTGGCACTTCATTTCTTTTTTATATAAAAATATAAATATAATGTATAGAGACTTGTAAGCATTTCTGTTGTTTTGTTGTTTTATTTTTTATTTTATTTTATTAATTTTTACAGAGAGGAATAGAGATTTAGAAACATCAATGAGAGAGAAACATCGAACAGCTGCCTCCTGCACACTCCCCACTGGGGATGTGCCCGCAACAAAGGTACATGGTTGATCAGAATTGAACCTGAGACCTTTCAGTCCCCAGGCCAATGCTCTACCCACTGAGCCAAACTGGTTAGGGCAGCATTTCTGTTGTTGACCATTCAATATAAAAACCATGATGATGACTTCTGTCTTAAACCAGCTTACTTCTTTTCTTATTTCTATAGTTCCAGGTGCTCCTTCAACTCCAAGGAGAGGGCGTGGGTGTCATCGAGGTGGCAGGGGAAGATTTGGTATTCGGCGAGATGGTCCTATGAAATTTGAGAAAGACTTTGACTTTGAAAGTGCAAATGCACAATTTAACAAGGAGGAAATTGACAGAGAGTTCCACAATAAACTTAAATTGAAAGGTGAATTTTTATTTTTCTACTCTTATTTGACTTGTGAATCATTGATGTTTAGTACACAAGTCATGACTTTTATGGTGTGTGCTTGTTTTTCAGTGGAAGATAAACTTGAGAAACAGGAGAAGCCTGTAAATGGTGAAGATAAAGGAGACTCAGGAGTTGATACTCAAAACAGTGAAGGAAATGCAGATGAAGAAGATCCACTTGGACCTAATTGCTATTATGACAAAACTAAATCCTTCTTTGATAATATTTCTTGTGATGATAATAGGTACTGTCTTTTAAGCTGTTCTTAAGCTTTTAGGAGGTTGGTGTGTAAACTGATTTCATTTTTTATGATTTTTTAAATTAAATTTTATCTATGTACATATACCATTGCCCCCCATTTCACAAAGTTTATTAGTAATGAATACTTAAAAAATATCTGCCCTGGCTGGTGAGTTCCATAGCTAGAGCATTGGCCCACACACGGAAGGGTCGAGGGTTAGATTCCCTGTCTAGATCAAGGGCTCCTACCTGGGTTGAGGTTTGTTGTGTAGGAGGCAGCCAGTAAATGTGTGTGTGTGTCCCTCTTCTCCTTTCCTCCCTCCTCCTCTCCTTTCCACTCTCTGAATATCTAATGGCAGCAATTATTTTGCTAAAAGAAAATAATTGAACAAAAATTAAAATTAGTAAACCGAAGCTTCCGTATAAGTTAAGACCTTTGACGGTACTTTACCCTTTACAGTGTAGTTCCAATAAACCAGGACCAAAAGTACTAATATTACTTTGTGATTTGCTGATATAGTAAAACTCTGCAACATTTAAGTAAACGGAGATCCAGAAATTTGTCAGGTTAATTGTCAGGACCTAACATAAACTAAGAGTTCCAGGAATTCTGCTGATCAATCCAAATTGTCTCCCACGCTGTGGTTTAGTGCCACCTGGTGGTCATTGTTTAAACATGAATGGGGATGATTCTGAGCCCTGGGGGCTCTAGAATAGAACCCGAAATAGCAGCTATTCAGACACTTGCCTCAGGCATCAGATCCAGAGATTGGGCCATGACCATCGGGAACTCTGGGACCTTCCCTCCTGCTCCCAACTTCCTAGACAGTGTTTTCTTTTCTGGCTTTACTTTATCTTCCACGGACTGAGCAGAGGATGGAGTTAATTGCTAATCACATTATATCTAAATTCCATTATATTGGTGCTGTTATCTTGTTTATTTTGTCGACTGTATTTGCAAGAATCTAATACCAGTTATATTTTTACATGAAATTTAACAGAATATTAATATTAAATTTAACAGCCAAAACCGGTTTGGCTCAATGGATAGAGCGTTAGCCTGCAGACTGGAAGGTCCCAGGTTCGATTCCGGTCAGGGGCATGTACCTTGGTTGCGGGCATATCCCCAGTAGGAGGTGTGCAAGAGCCAGCTGATCGATGACTCTCTCATCGATGTTTCTAACTATCTCTCTCCCTTCCTGTCTGTACAAAATCAATAAAATATTTTTATTTTTTTTAAAAGGAACATGAACAGTTCGTGATGGCTTAGATAATAAGATGCTTTTTTAAAAATATATATTTTATTGATTTTTTAAGAGAGGGAGAGGGAGTTAGAAACATGGATGAGAGAAAAACATCAATTAGCTGCCTCCTGTACACCCCTTACTGGGAATGTGCCCTCAACCAAAATATATGGCCTTGACCAGAATTGAACCTCTATCCACTGAGCCAAAACAGTTAGGGCGATGCTAAACTTTTACTTGATCTTTAGGAATTGCTTCACCTTAATTTGGGAATTAGTGTTATATAGTTTTGCTTGAAAAATGTTCTTTAAAACCTGATATACAGTAAAAATTAATTGTGCTTAAAATAGAGAACGGAGACCAACCTGGGCTGAAGAAAGAAGATTAAATGCTGAAACATTTGGAATCCCACTTCGTCCAAACCGTGGCCGTGGCGGGTACAGAGGCAGAGGAGGTCTTGGTTTCCGTGGTGGCCGAGGACGCGGTGGTGGTAGAGGTGGTACCTTCACCACTCCTCGAGGATTTCGTGGTGGATTCAGAGGAGGTCGTGGGGGCAGGGAATTTGCAGATTTTGAATATAGGGTAAGTATTATATGTTTTTCATAAAACTACATGCCAAACAACATGCATTTTAATGAAACTCAGAATTTTTTTCTTTTATCTATTTTGGATAAATATCTTTAGGGCATTGGTATAACTTTCATTTTTACCTGATTAGGATATTTATATAATTTTAAGGAGTAGTAACTTAGCTAATAAGTCTTTTTTGTCTTTTTATTATAGAACTATGGTTTTAGACTTTGCAGATTGGTAAAATTTCCCCAAAAAAACTATTAGAGACTGACTTAGCATTGTTTCTTTTTCTTTTCTTTTTTTTTCTTTTCTTTTTTTTTTTTTTTTTTTTTTAATATTTTTATTGATTTTTTACAGAGATGAAGAGAGAGAGGTATAGAAAGCTAGCAACATTGATGAGAGAGAAACATCGATCGGCTGCTCTTGCACACCTACTGGGGATGTGCCCGCAACGAAAGTACATGCCCTTGACCGGAATTGAACCTGGGATCCCTCAGTCCGCAGGCTGACGCTCTATCCACTGAGCCAAACGGGTTGCGGCCTGTTTCTTTTTTTATTTCTTCTTTTAAGATTATATTTTGTTGGATCACTTAAGGCATTAGCCACATAAGTATTATTGCATACCATACCATTTTTTTAAAAATATATTGTATTGATTTTTTACAGAGAGGAAGAGAGAGAGATAGAGAGCTAGAAACGTCAATGAATCGACCAGCTGCCTCTTGCACACCCTCGCAACCAATGTACATGCCCTTGACCGGAATCGAACCTGGGACCTTTCAGTTCGCAGACCGACGCTCTACCACTGAGCCAAACCGGTTTCGGTTTTTGTTTTTTTTTTTAAAAATAACAAAGTATGCTTTAACACTAAAAGAGTTTAGGAAGGACGTACTTCACAATGGAAGACAAACTTATATGTTTAATAGCAGCTAATATTTATATAGTATGTTGCATGTATATATCAACTCACTTAAACCTCCCAGCAACTCTGGTGTAGGTTCTCTTTTTAATCCCCATTTTACAGATGTGGAAATAGGGAGAAAGATATTAAATAGTTTGTCCTAAGTCAGCTAATAAGTGATGATGCTGGGTCTTGAACCTAGTAAATTTTTTCCTGAGTCAGAGCTCTTAATTTAGTTTTGTGAAAAACGCAACCACATTTTTCTTGGTTTTCTTATTTCGCCATGGTCTTGAAAATCTCATGATATTGACATTTGGGAACTGCTGCTAGAAAATTGTATAGTTCTTATAGTATGTTTATATGTATTATTTACTTAAAGGAATCTGTCACAATCCTAGTTTATTGATTTTTAGGGGTAGTGGAGAGGAAGGTATATAAACAGAAAGGTGTCTATTCAGCCGTGGTGGCCTAATGGAGCTGCAGCACTTCTGATACAAAATTGCCATTCTAGCTAAAAAACTATATCTTAGGAACCTACTGCTCTCGCCTGTGACGTTTTGCTTACATAATTCAGTAGCCTTTTCACAAATATTTGCTCTATTCCTCTGCAATATTTGACACCCAAGTGTTTTTTTCTTTTTTTTAAAACATTTTTATTGATTTCAGAGAGGAAAGGAGAAGGAGAAAGAAATAGAAACATCAGTGATCAGAGAGAATCATTCAACAGCTGCCTCCTGCACATCCCCCTCTGAGGGATCAAGCCTGAAACCTAGGCTTGTGCCATGACAGCTAATCAAACTGACCTCGTGATTCATAGGCTGATTATCAACCTCTGAGCCACATTGGCTGGGCAGTGTCTTTTTTTTCTTGTTTGTTTTTTATACACAAGTTTTTTTTTAATAAAACAACACATTTTTCTCAACACAGTCTATAAGATGCTTCAGGATCTTCTCCAGGTCTAGAACTATCTCTAGTTCCTTTTACCGTTGGGACTTCCTTTCTCTTCATTCACCCCGCCACAGATACCTGGGCCTTCTTAATCTTGTTTAGGGACAACCTTAATCCTATCTCAGGACCTTTTTATCCATTCCTTCTGCCTGGAACAGTTTGCTGTCTTCCCATTATATCAGCTTTGCCTCTTCCTACTGTTTGATTGGCTAATAATACACCATTCTTTTTCTTCCTTTTTTTCTTTTTCATTAATCCTCACCTGAGGATTTTTTTTTTTTTTCATTGATCTTTAGAGAGAGTGGATGGGATAGGGAGAGACAGAGAGAAACATCGATGTGCGAGAGACACCACATTGGTCTCTCACATGGTGCCAGGGTCGTGGTTCCCATACATCTAATTATTTGAATTTCATAGATATACATTGGCCTCCCATAGGTGCCGGGGTTGTGGTTCAAGCCTGCAACCAAGGTGTGTGCCCTTGACCAGAATCGAACCTGTGACCCTTCATTCCTTAAGCCAGTGTTTCCCAAAGTGTGGTACACGTACCCCCAGGGGTACGGGAAGAGTTTGGTGGGGGTACGCGTTGCACTGGAGTTTGGTGGGGATATGCACTGCACCTGGCTTAGCTGTGCCTAATTCTACGTTCTCATGATACGAGGGCTACTCAGCATTACAAAAATTATAGAAGGGTTACACATGTCAAAAATTTGGGAAACACTACCTTAAGCCAACGCTCTAACCGCTGAGCTTAACTGGCCAAGGCTGACATTCTTTTGTCCCCAGGAGTGTGGAGGTATTCATGATCATGGCCCATTTTCACATCACCACATTCATTTCTTTGACATGTCCCTGCCAACTAACACAATAACCTACTGATTGGTCTTCAGATCTTCAGTCTTTCTTTACCTTACTTTAAGCATATCAGCTACCTGTTGAAAAACTTAGGACGATTCCTTGCTGAAGACTATATTGAGTCAGCTTGGTTTGAGGAAAGGTGCATTTAAATTAGAATGTGGTCCCAGTGAGGATTTTATTGCTAGTATGATCTCAAGTTGTTAAACCTTTCAGTCACTCAATTTTGACATTTGTGAAAAGAGAGTTGCACAGTCTTATCTCAGATACACCTTTTACAGATCATTAAAGTCTCAGTTGGAAAGCATCTGAGAGATCTGACCTAGCCAAACCTCATCTGTAGTTGGGACCTTACTTTTCCTGAGACCATTATCCCACTCTAGGGATATCTAATTACTTGGATTTCACAGATATACATATGATTTGAGTGAAAATCTTTTTCCTATATCTTTGAACAATTAATTTAACTCTGTCCTTTGTAAATACACAGAATATATATACTTTACATAATTTTTAGATATTTGAAAAAATATCTGTCATGTTGTCTGTGTAAGACTGGACTGTTATTTCACTTTATCTAAACTGAATAATCACTGTGTGCATGATACATGCACTTACTAATGCAAATATTTTCTTAAAACTGTGTCTCACTATTCCGTCATTTTGATCCTTTGGTTAAAACCATTTCACAGACAGTGGAGCAGAAGTAGGTTTACAGTTGTAAGTACAATATGCAAAACATAGGCTTTGTTCTTTATTATTATTAATTGTATTATTTTCCATATGAACAACTGTAAACCTGCTTTTGCCCCACCCTGTATATTGCAGTATTAGAATGCATTGTAGCTGTTGTCTACATGAATCTTTGTCTGCACTAGTGTATTTCTGACACAATCTGCTTGAGTGTTTCAAGAAGTGACAGATTCACTGGACCCTGAGGCATTGCCGTGGTGGTTAAAAAGTTCTAATGTGACATTGCACTGCCGCCTCTTTTTTTTTTTTTTTTTTTTTCCAATAAATTTTATTGATTTTTCACAGAGAGCAAGAGGGAGGGATAGAGAGTTAGAAACATCGATGAGAGAGACCCATCGATCAGCTGCCTCTTGCACACCCCCCACTGGGGATGTGCCCGCAACCAAGGCACATGCCCCTGACCGGAATCGACCCTGGGACCTTCCAGTCTGCAGGCCAACGCTCTATCCACTGAGCCAAACCTGTTTCGGCTGCCTCCTCTTCTTATTGTGAGGATCCCACTTGACATGCCCAGCCCCATTTCTTTTTTTTTTTTTTTTTTTAATATATTTTATTGATTTTTGTACAGAGAGGAAGGGAGAGAGATAGAGAGTCAGAGACATCAATAAGAGAGTCATCGATCAGCTGCCTCTTGTACACCCCCCACTGGGGATATGCCCGCAACCAAGGTACATGCCCTTGACCGGAATCGAACCCAGGGCCCTTCAGTTCCCAAGCCGACGCTCTATCCATTGAGCCAAACCGGTCCCGGCCCAGCCCCATTTCTTATTACCCTTTAACTTATCTGATTTAAGCAAGTTGATTCATACTCACATTGTTTTTTTATTCAGACTATGGCCTCATTCATTCATTGACCAAATAAATATATTAATTATTTTATATGCCAAGCACTGTGCTGGACATTGGTAGTAAACAAAATAGACTCAGTCCTGCCTCCTTGGTGTTTATAGTCCAGAGGGAAGTCAGGCACAGCTAAAAGTCAAGGCCTCCCTTTTACTTACACTTCACAGTCTTACCCAAGGTTTCCTCTATCTTTATAAACATATCTTCCTCCCTCCACTGATTTCTTCCTTTTCTCACCTCCATAGTATCTGCTTTCACCTATGTGAAATACATCATGTTCCCTATTCCACGCATTTTGTTTTGTATCACCAGCTATGTGAGAGCCTCTTGACATTAGTGAATATGTATTCCACAAAAACACTTGCTCAGCATGGAGCCATAATGGGCTTGAAGTAAGTGCTTAGCATATGTTCATTAGGAGTACTTTCTTTAGCCTTCAGTGGCAACAAAGGCCCATCAGTGTGGCTAGCCCTTGATTGTTCACTACAGGTTGAATGATCCTTCTGCCTGCCATCAGAGGTCTTCTCAGCAGCCTATGTCTTCTAGATCATATCATTTGGCTCCTTTAAAGGATCACTATTACATATAAGAGATTTACCTGCAGGAATTAAACTCATTTTTCAAAGTGGATGTCAATAATATTTATAGTAGCTTTCTGGACCCTGAGGCATTGCCGTGCCATTTTCTGCTTAATTTCAAAAATACAATAATATTTATAGTAATGGTTGGTTTTGGTCATTGTGCTCTGTTGGCATGAGTCATTACATTTTTAGGTTGAGCATAAACAAATCTGATTGCCTAATGAAAATGTGTTTTAAGAGGATTATCGATTTTTAGGATTCTTTAAAAATAGCCATATACTGCCCTGGCCAGTGGGGCTCAGTGGTTACTGGGGGAGTCACAGGTTCAAATTTCAGTCAAGAGCCCATACCTGGATTGCAGGCTCGATCCCCAGCCTTGGTCATGGTGTATGTGGGAGGCAACCAATCGATGTATCTGTCCTTTCTCTCCCTTCCTCCCGCAATTCTCCTTTTCTCCCTTTTCTCCCCCTACCTCCCTCCGTTCTCTGAAAAATCAATGAAAAAATACCCTCATGTGAGAGACTAGAACCCTTCTCCAAACCCACCCCAATCATAGGGTTAGGAAACCAAGGACCCAGAGAGATTAACTCTCTAGATTTAGGTACAAACTACTGTATAAAGCCAAAACTCCCTCTCTTGCCATCTAGCCCAATTTTCCTTAAGGATAATGTTAGAAGCATAAACTTGTGTTGCGTTTGGTCCTATGGCACTTTCTTTTCTTCTTCTTCTTTTTTTTTTTTAGTTGGGGGGTAGGGAGGTCATGCCAAGGATATAATAAGAGGACAGCCAGATCCTGGTTTAAATGCTGCTGATAGCCAAAACCGGTTTGGCTCAATGGATTGAGCGTCGGCTTGGGGACTGAAGGGTCCCGGGTTTGATTCCGGTCAAGGGCATGTGCCTTGGTTGCCGGCATATCCCCAGTAGGGGTGTGCAAGAGGCAGCTGATCAATGACTCTCTCTTATTGATGTTTCCAACTCTCTCTCTCCCTTCCTCTCTAAAAAATCAATAAAATATTTTTTTTTAAAAAAGAGCTCCTGCCAAAACCGGTTTGGCTCAGTGGTAGAGCGTCGGTCTGCGGACTGAAAGGTCCCAAGTTCGATTCCGGTCAGGAAGCGGCTGGTCGATATTTCTCTCTCATTGACATTTCTGCTCTATCTCTCTCCCTTCCTCTCTGTACAAAATCAATAAAATATATATATATATTTTTTAAAAAAGAGCTCCTGCTGGGTATTGAAGTAAAAAGTATTTTCTGAAAATCAGTAGTACAGATTTATATGTGAGAGTAAAAGGAGAATATAGTTAAAGATAATGGAAGTATATTTAAGCATATTAGAAAGAAATGATTATTAACTAACCAATAATTTGAAAAATGAGCTAATTTTTTTTTTTCCTTTTTTAGAAAGACAACAAAGTTGCTGCATAGTCTACAAACAAGTCTTTGGAAATAGGTGAACTTCTAGCTCTTCATGGTCCTGAGAATTGGTTTCAGTCTTTACCAAGAATGAAGGAGTGAAATCGCTGTATATTTGTCACCAGCACTGGGTTTTTGTTGTTGCTGTTGTTGTTGTTGTTGTTGTTGTTGGTTTGTTTGTTTTTCTGCTTAATTTCAAAGATATGATGTAGTTATATTGGGGGGGTAAGGGGCAGCTCAACTTTAAAAATGAGCATTAAATATATTTGAAATAGCAGAAGGTTAAGTAATTTCTTATGTGTAAACTAAAGCAGTACTTCAATGGGACTTACAAGTATTTTTTCATCACTGAAAGAATTTTTTTTTTAATCACTAAATTGTATTTGGCAATTATTGTAAGTTACCTGCAGATAGGGCCGTGATACTGTGTTTCAAGCCACAGAAGGGGGTGTGTGTGTGTGTGTGTGTATGTATGTGTCTGTGTCTGTATCTTTTTCCCTTTCTTTTTGGCAATCCTGTAATATCCCTTTTGAGGTAGTTTATTTCATCAGTTAATTGGGGTGCTGGATGGTAGAGAATTTTGTCAGTCAACTATGTACACACAGTAAATACTGTTTCTTAGGCAAAGGTAACTTTTTTATATAGTTATAAAATTCCATTATATAGCATTGCCAAAGAAACATTAAGAACTTTGTATAGCTGTATAAAAAGCAACTAATTTTTTAAAGAATAAACATTTTAAAGTCAGCAAACATACTGTGTCCTTGCACAAGTTGTGCTGAAGATCAGAGCTATGGGTGGGTCTTTTTTTTCTTCTTCTTCTTTTTTTTTTTTTTTTCCATAGCTTTCCAGGCTTAAGATTTTTTATTTTGATTTTTTTTTAAATGTTTAGAACACAAATGAAGATTTGATACATTCTTTTGTTAAAGATAAATTATGCTCATTGTAAGAATTTCATTTTATAGTAAATGGCATATCACAGGATTTGTCCAAATAATAAATATTTTCAGTATATGAATGTAAATAATCATAGATAATAATGTACTTAGATGTATTTTCAAATAAGTAAGTCCTCCCCTTTTTTTAAGACAGTAAAACTAGGCATCAATTAACCTGTTCTTCCTGATGATGCCTGGAATTTTGTCGTGATAAGTTGACTCATTCCATTATATTTCAAGAGGATTCAGAGTGTTAGAAATTATTTTGACAACTTATCAGATATCATAACACTGGTCCTTTGGCCTGTGATTCACAAATGACTCAATATAGAGTTCATTGTTAACTATAAATTACTAGTAAATCTTTTTGATACTTTAAGCTATACTGGGGGGGGAAATCTGGCCACCTTTGTGTTTTTATGAAGGCCATGGAATAAAGGGATCCAAAGATTTAAATATTCTTATCTCTCTTGATTTTGTTAACTTTCTCCTTAAGCTACTCAGTAGTAATAAAGATGTGGAAAACTGCACAGTAGAATTAGAATATTTAAAGATGGTTGATATTTTTAATTTTATATCTTTTGTATAGCTCTACAAGAAGATGTTTTGTAATTTGGTTTCATTATTAAGTTTCAGTACTTGACAGTCATAATTAATATTGTTTAATACTGTTTGCATGTTAACAACAAAATCTTTTGGAGGACCCATGAATCATGATATTGAACACATTTCTGAGGCATTCTGAACATTAAAGCAAGTGCTATGGCAATACTTATAGACTGTTTAAGATGTCCTGGGCCTATTTCAAGAAGAAAAACTGTAAATACCAGTTTTACATGCTCTAAAAATATGAATTCATGCAATTTCCAAGCCCTCTGGGTCACTGACTAGGGCATTTGGTAACCTAGTAACTGGCAGCATGGCATACCTGCAGTGCACCTTACAATATTAAAGCAAGGTTTTTACTCTAAGACAGAATAAAACTCTTCAATTAAAAATGTTCGTCAAAGTTTTTTCTCTTTAAACAGAAATGTTTTCTTACAATAGAAAGATAAAAGCATCTTTAAAATGTCAGAATGGAATTATGGTCATGTTTATATTCCCTAAAAAAACTAAATTATTTTCTCTCTAAGACTTACTTATTGTCGTAGATGTTTATGTAAAGGAATAAGCCCCTTTCTCTCCCTGTATAGTGGAGACCACAACTAAGTTCAAATCTGTGACATGAGGGGACAGCCAAGTGGAAAACCTCAGGCTAGAGTGTGACCTCTGGCCATGCAGGTGCAAATGAGGAGAGAGGGAAGGGCTGGCTCCTTCTAAATTCACTTATTGGATAGACCATTTTTCCCTCCAAAATCAAAACTTAATGTAAGGGGTAGAAAGATAGGTTTAGGAATGTTAATCCAGCTCAATGCCTCTTAATCAGAGTCTGAATTGACATCCTAGGAGCAATTAGAAAAGTGAAGAAATATGTTTTGAGCTGTCCCAATAACTAGGAACAATTGGCATTAAAGGGTAAGGATCAGGAATGGTAAATGTCCTACACTATGCTGGACAGTGCCACATAATCAGTTATCTAGCCCAAAATATAGCAGTGGCCCTTCCACTTTGAGAAATACTAGCTGAACTCCCTCCACATGTGAAGATAATGAGTGGGGAATTCATCCTTGCCTGCCCCCAAAACTAACTTTATACATGGAACATGAAAGGACAAGTATAAAGGTACTTTACTCCCAATAGTGTCAACATTTAGAGAACCCATTATGACAGTAGGAGTTACCACTCCATCCAGTTCTCTCTGATAGTTCACAAATCTCTTATCAGAATCTCCTTAGAAGCACTCTTACGTAAAGTCCAAATTTCCACGCTCCACACCCAGAAACTCTAGTTCTGAAGTTTTGTAGTGGAGCCTGGGAATCAGTCTCGCTTCCATAGGCAGTTTCAATCATCCAGGCTTAGAAAAAGAGTTAAACATCACAGCTGGCTCATTTAATCTAGCCCCCTCCTCCTCTAGGGTTTTGGTGAAGTTTTCTCAGTAGGATTACTTTTTCATTTCCCCATCCTTCCAAATCTGGTATATCCAGGTTGTGACCAGGGCTTAAGAGAGGGAAAGGACCAAGTGTGTGTTTGGAGGGAAGTGGGGGGCGGCATTTCTGGAGGACAGAATCTTTCCTCCAGAGTTAGGCTACTTTGAGTACCAAGACTTGAATATTTTGTTCCTAACATACAGGAAATGAATGTGTGTTGTGTCTGTCAGATTTACATGGCTGTTGTCCCTGTTTCTGTGTTATCTGTCTGAAAGAAGCTTCTGTAAGCACCAGTCCTAACAGATGTAATCATGTCTGATTCAGTGTTGCAGGATACCCCTGCCCCCTTAGTTTAGAGACTATAAGCTGGTTTAAACAAACAGTGGGGAGAGTGTCACAATCATGAGTGATCTCTTAAAGGAGCTTACATGTCTTCAGTTTGCTTAGTTTTCCTGTTATGAGTGTGTTTTTAATGGATGACAAGTATTAATACAATTGGACTCAAATTTAGGGAAGTAAAATAGCACCATTAATCCCTGATTGTGAAGATGCTAAATGGGGATTTGCTCAGAGCAGGCTGCCTTAGCTTCTTGCAAGATAGAGTTACAGGGACAACTTCTTAAAAGAGGAATCCCGTGAGTAGAAGTTGAAGGAAGTAAGGGAGAGTGTAGCTTTGTGCAGCAAAGGCCAGCAGCAGCAGCCAGCCAGCCAGTGTGTGCACTAGGAAGCTAGAGGTGCAGGTCCCAGTCCCCGCTCTTATAATCCCAGCCTTCTGAGGAGGGGTGATACAAAGTTCATATCCTGTTTTTCAGAGCCAGTGTTAATAAAAGCAAGCTTCTGGTTTGGGGACATCTATAAATCTAGCTACAAGAGCACATGCTGAAACTATGAATCTAATGTGGTTTCTGTTCTCAGTGATTGTGCATAGCTGAAGCCAGTGAGATGTGTGTCCTTTAAATTCCAGCTGTCTTCATATTAATTAACTTGGCTGACTGATATAATGTTCTCAGGTTTAGCTCATAAACATACCAAAATAGACCTGAATCTGATTTCAGTCTATAATGAATGTTGGTTTTAAGGAAATGTTTTAAAATGCACTGATTTGTGGTTTATATACAAAGCAGCTCTGTGAGACTAAAGCATAGTTTAATTCAATAATGAGGCTTTCTTAGAGTGACTCATACTTTAGATGCACAGAAAAAAACTGAGAGCAGGCAGCAAAAGAGCTCATGGCTCAGAAAGCCTTGCCTTTGCCTCCAGACTTGAAGAGCAGTCTGGGAGTGGAAGGGGAAGAAAGCAAAGAATGCTAATCTTGAAGGGGTAGGAGAAGCCTGGGCCCAGACAAGATTGTACTGATTGTAAATGGTTTACAGTCATCCCATTACAGGGGACAGGAACAGATGTCTGTGTGCCTCTGTAATCCTTGTACTCACCTAATTCTGGTAATCCTTGGGTATTAGCCTCACACAGGATTGATGAGAATGCAAATTCCAACATTTCAATTCAGGATTTTGCTTATGCTGAAATTGTTCTATAAAATTTTTTATGAGTTGGTTGAGTGATGGTTATCCCTTGCTCCATTCCCTGTGTTTAATAGCATTTCTTTGTCCCAAAGTTGCAGCTTATAAAATGCAAGTAGGTATAGTTTTTTGTTTTGTTTTGTTTATATATACTTTATTGATTTTGTACAGAGAGGAAGGGAGAGAGACAGAGAGTTAGAAACATCGATGAGAGAGAGTCACCGATCAGCTGCCTCTTGCACACCCCCTACTGGGGATATGCCCGCAACCAATGTACATGCCCTTGACCGAAATCGAACCTGGGACCCTTCAGTCCCCAAGCCGACGCTCTATCCACTGAGCCAAACCGGTTTCGGCTGTTTTTTTTTTTCTTTTTTCTTTTTTCTTTTTTTTTTTTTTTTTCTTTTTTCTTTATTTTATTGATTTTGTACAGAGAGGAAGGGAGAGAGATAGAAAGCTAGAAACATCGATGAGAGAGAGTCATCGATCAGCTGCCTCTTGCACACCCCCCACTGGGGATGTGCCCG